GCTTCTTCTCTCGGCCCGCAACTGGATTCGACATCGTCCGTCGTTGGATGAGTTCGAAATATCGAGTTGGAAATACATCACCTTCTTCTGGATCTTCTTCGATGTTTACGCGGTTGTATACGAAGAGATCGAGCAATTCGAGGAGAGAGATGTTTCGAAACTGTTTATTTTTTATGAACAACTTTATGTGGAAACGGGAGGATCGTTGAACCCCCGACGAAGGAGTATTCACCTTTTTTTTTCCTCTCTCTCTCTCTCTTTTCTGATACGTTCAGACTACGTATAGAAGAGACGCGTCTTTCTCGAATTCGTTGAACGACACGCGGCGAGGGGATCGAGATCGTCGAAGAAATCTTGGCAGCCGGTGAAACGGAGATAACTGAACAGTGATTGCCAGTAAGAGTAAAATCCAATCGGCAAGATCGCCGCAACGTCATCGAGAAATTAAGTTTTACCGGGGCTGGAAAGCCTACCGATCGATGCTGCCAGTCACTCGAGAGGAGTGTGTCTCGACGAGCGAGGGAGAGAGGCAGTGATAAAGAGAGGCACCCGTTCTCACGAAGCTGTTTGACGACCTCACGTGCGTCGGGGTTCGCCGGGGTCGTCGACGGTTCCTGACGCGGACGGTGACGCGTGACCTTCGACTACGGTTCACGCGTCGGTGGTGATCGTCGGTCCAACAACCCTGCAACGCTCTCTCTCCGCGGGGGAGATCGAGAAGATCGGGCCCGAGGTTCCCGTGATTTCTGAAATTTTAACCCGAAGTTTCTCGCGACGAACTCGATCGAGATGTCCGATTTCTTCGCCGTGACGTTGTTACGTCTCTTCGATATGTGTTTAGTTGAGATGATTTGAGAAAAGGTGGTGAGAAGAGAGGTTTAACAGTGAGAAAATTATTGGGAAGTATTGTTTTGTTACGAATGAAACGATATTCTTTCACGTCTCTGAGCAGAAAACTGTCTGTTCGAAACGCGGAATGCTTGAAAAGTTTGGTCGAGATTGAATAACGAGACGAGAGTTTGAAACTGTTTAAGTGCGAAACGGTGAGAAAAAAAGTAAGAAGAGAGGAAACTTTCTTCGCGTTTCCACGTGTTTAAGCTTCTAAAGGCGGGGATGGTTTAGCTTAGGATGACAAAGTGAGCTCGGCGATTAAGGGGAATAACCTTGAATAAAGTTCATTTTACCCTCACGTGGGTGGTTTAATTTGAGATAATATGATCGGCGGAAGCGATGATGAGGAAATTCCGTTGTCCAGGGAAAGGAGCTTAAATTGCAAATGCTGATGGATCGAGGACACTGTCTATCCACGTGGCGTCGGATCTGTTCTGGATCGGAATGTAATTTTATCAAGTAGATCCATGCCATCGTCGAACGAGGTTCAGGCAAAACATCTTTCGACTGCGTCGAGTTCTCGAATACCATTCGCGCTAATTAATCGAACGTTGAGTGAACATTTAAACGACTTATCATTCAAACAATTTTCTTTTCCTTTTTCTTCTTCTTTTTTTTTTTTTTTTTTGACGGAACATTTNNNACACTTGGAAGCGAAGCGGAATAATTTGAACGGAACTTTCTGCATCGACGTTTTTAAAAATAGAATCCTTATCGATTATCAAGTCGAGTTATGACGAAAAAAAAAAAGGGAATGGACACCGTGGATTATTAAAACGAGTCTTTAATTGCCAAAAAACAAAAACGAGATAGACAATCGTTTCTCCCTTATTAATTGTACTTCGCACGATTACACAGTTTGTCATTCTCAAGAATCTCCTCGAGAGCAGTAGACAATCAAGAAAACGTATAATCCTTCACACCGGCGGATTCAACATCGAAGTTGAACAATCTCTCGATCGTAGACGTATTAAACTAAAAAAAAAAAAGAAAAAACACGAGAAGAATTCAAGTCGAAGAAGGCGCGAACACAGCCGAGCACGAACACGTCGAGGTGACTTATGATGGGCTGCAGACCGGCAGCTAAGTCGAAGGTGGAAGGGTGCGGTCGCGGGCAGCTCGAGGCGGCTTTCGCGTCGCCGAGGTGTAACGAGGTGACGATCATCGAGCTTCCCACCGAGATCGTTCAGAAGCGAGAGGATCGTTCAGGTCCGAGCGGCGCAGCCGGGGCGGAGGAGGAAGAGGAGGAAGAAGAGGTTGGCAAGGAGCGTGATTATAGCTCAGATTGGGCGAGGTCGAGGCTCGAGTCGAGTTTCAACAGATAGCTGCCTGCCAAGTGAGGATGCAGAGGCTGCGCTCGACCTTCAAGAGGTCGCGCACCCCGACGGGAGCGGAAATGAAGTCGCAGTCGAGCCTCGAG